CGCGACCTAAAAGTCGCCAGTTTTAGCGAAAAGTCGCCGAGTGGTGATGATGATGATGACCTTTTTCGGATTTTTTTTTTATCAAAACGTAAAGGTGTTTTTTTTTTGTTTTTTTTTTGTGACGAGACAAGTGAATAGTTGGAGTCGGCCGTCCCATTCCCAAGGACTCGCCAACACCTTGAGCGACTCAAGGCGTTGGCGAGAAGATCCTGGTCCATAAACAAAACAGCGGAAGCCTGTTCTGCTTCATCCTTATCGAACAAAACCCTCGCTTTAACCCGCGTTAAAGCGAGGGAATTGCTTCGGGGTCGGAGAACGTCACCTCACCCACAACCGGATGAATAAAAATTAACAAAAATGAGTGACATCCAGAGCTGTCCCCTGGAAGCCACTGGAGAGCTATCCGACTGACATATTTTCCCCCCGTTCACGTAGCTTTAGTAACAATTTACATAACTAGAAAAAAAAAAGTCCCCCAAAAAGTCGCTAAGACTCCAAAAACACAAAATTGTCGTTAGGACGACTGAAAACACTCTAAATTTAGCGACTTTCTCGCTAAGTTCACACCACTGGCCACCGCGCGTACATACCAAGCGCGCGCGAGGGAGAGAGAAACTTCCTCCGCCGGGAGAACACGGCACATTTCGGGATCTATTTCACGCAGCGGATAACGCGGGCCTTTTCACACCTCGATACTGGCGCCATCTAGAAGTTGCGCGTTCAACCACGTTTCGAGCCGCGCGCCATCTGGTGGCTGAAACGGACGAATAAATAGAGGTACCGCGCCCTCTTAACACGCTTGGCCACCTGTATCCTCCGTTTCACAAATGCTTGCTTGCAATATGTTGCTCGGGTAGAGGAGAGAGAATCGGCTGCAGACTCTTTTCGGTGTCTGTTGACCATCATTTACATTCTACTAATCGTCTGCACCAAACCAAGCAATTGCAATTGACTGAAAGCAGCAATGGAAGTGGCATTTGACCTTTTCTAGCAGATTTCGTAGCTGGAAAAATAAAGGATAGGAGCAGCAACTGACGCTTCTGGGGCAGATGCCAACGTCTGTTAGCACGTCACTTGAAAATGAAAATGTCGTTGCACCGCTAAATGAGTTTATATCTGATATTCCTTGAGCATTCCTCCTCGGTACTAAAGCGTATTATTTATTACCTTTTATAGTGAGAATAGGCAGGGTGCGGAAGGAACATAAAGACTTCTAGGTCCCATTTACAATGGGTGTGAAAAAAATGGTCATAAAACTAAGCATAGTGCAAGACTTCTGTTAAGATAAAGCATCTCTCTCCCTCCCTCTTTTACCCTCGGTAGTTCATTCACCCCGTATATATATTTCCCGCAAAATGACGGCGAAAATCAGCATATCAACTAAAACATCTATCAAAAAAATAGGTCCCACTAAAGTTTTATGAGCACCGAACTCAGGATCCTAGTACAATAAACTGCAGAAAGAACCACACACAAATATCATGAAAACCTTCAGTCTTGTTTTAAAAGTGACATTGCGCTTTTTCGTTGTTTAAACCTCGAGTTGAGTCAAAGTTTGCAGCCCTTTCGATTGACTGCTGCACGTGGACTACCTTGAGTACCATATTTAAAATGTAGACTGGCGCTTCCTCTCCTTCCTCGGCACAGCCTTTTTAAATTTAGAGGTCAACCTACATCCAAAACCAAAGAAAGTCCTCCCGTAATAGTACTGAGCACAATTTGCAAGCCAATCGCAATAACCCACATCAGCCGCATCTCCTACCACACCGGCGCAAAGCGGTGAAGCTCGACGCGTGCGCACCGGTCTGAGGCCATACAGGTTGAAGCGGGCGGCGCAAGTGCCACCGTACACTCTAGCCACGGCATGAAGGCGTGCGGAGGACATAATAATCCAACGACCTCCTCCGGAGTAACAGACCCTGTCTTACTACAGTAGCCGCCATCCCACTATTTTGGCCATTTTTCTCCGGACTTTTGGCTCCCGACTTTGCCGACGTTGTTTTACGATATGAGCCAATGGAACCAAGCAAACATCGTCAAAAGTGTGACATGGCATTTGTCATCTATCCGTACGTGTTCTTTCATTGGCTAAACCAATCTAGCGCAGCGAACGCCCGTAAATTGGCGCTTTTACTGAACATGCCACTTTGTGATTGCATGTGTTCAAACCTTAGACTGTGCTCTGACCCAAGACGAAACTAACTATGTGGTGGGTGGAGACAGGGGGAAATACATAATTGTACCATTTTCATTCCCTTTTACTTCTCTAAACAATAGAACGGACCGATAAAAGCATATATTTACTTCTCGCTTCAGTCGAGCTGCCCTTGCTCTAAGTGTGGCGCAATTCTTAGCAAAAATGACGCTTTGGCGCAGGATGTAACAGCCTTTCGTTCGTGCTGCAATTTGGTGCAAATGATGCGGCACATCCATCACTGTGAAAGTTACGAAGCTGATCAGAACGCTACTCTCAATTTCCCAGCGGTACGATTAAGTGATTGAGAAGCAATCAGGGATGGGCAGAAATACTCAAGTGTATTTGGAAATACAAATACTGGGATACATTAAAATAGTAGCTAAAACACTGATACTAAAATATATCTGTAAAATTTATCGCAATACGTATTGGAAATACATTATAAATAGAGGCAAAAGGTCTTTGGAAATACAAATACAGGAATACATTTTAGGGAGGGCAGAAATACAAATACAGAAATACTGATACTGAAATACATTTTTCAAATTTGTTTGAGATGCCAACCGAGATGAAGCTTGAAGTTTAAAGTGGAAGTTTTTGATCCCGAAATTACTTTCCCATGGGCTTGGCCCTTAGCCTTGAAGGTAGTGGTTTCGGACGACGAGGAGTCTTCAGCGGGCTCAAAAAAAAACGTTCCATCAAGGACTGACCGCGGTTCCTTCCTTGACGTCCTGTCTGATTGACGAGAAATGCAAAAAGACTTGGACCTCTAAATAAATTCTATGTCACCCTAAATCCCATCAAAACGTCACCCCGCCACTGTCCCATAAGGACACCCCTGTGAACAGTGATCATACGTCAGGGTGGAATGCACTGGTATTCTTTATCTTTAGGTGTGGCCTTGAACATGAAACTTTATCACGCTGCTGCATGGAAGGACAATACATACATTCATAGTAGATTATCTCGTTGAAGATCGTGCAGGCAGTGTCATTTGGAATTTTCGAAAATAGTGGACCACCTGAAGCATCCTGGAACACACGTCTTATCTTCTGTGACGGTTGAAAAAACAATACGGTGGCATCCCTGTTGTGAAGGTCCTTTCTGCCGAACCTCCACCACCGACGTATAGATTGCAGTCCTCAAGCTTCGCATGGCATCATCCAAACGGAGATTTTGTGGATTGTCACCTGATATTGCCGGCACAGGTGCGAGCTCTCCGAGAAACAGAGCGCTCGAGACAAGTCGCAGGTGTACGAAGTCTGGGTCGGCACAGCGAGGCCACCTCTGGCCTCCTTCCTGGGTTTCAGATCAGCAGAGCAGCGGGTCACATTCACGTCGGCCGATGACGTACCCTTGAGCCGTGCAATATTACGGGCCCAGACACATTTGGATATGCGTTGAACTTCACTGCGCGAGTCATCCTACTATTTCAAGTCAACCACCGCCAGGCTCATGCTGCAATGGACTGTGACTCAGCTTTGCCGGCTGGGTGTACTATGCACACTAAGGCAACAGAGACGATTAACACAGGGCATTCGATGCCAGCAAACAATTACCCCAGAAATCCCGACCCAACGACTTGCGGCAGAAGATGCTCTAACTCCACTCCTGGCACGGCACCTGGTTCGGGTCCCCGACTATGCAACACTTCTCAGAAGAAAGAAAAGGACGCACAGAAAAATAGTTTGGAGAATAGGAAGGAACCTTGGTCAGCATAGTAACAATGCCCCGGCATCTCCTTGGCCCTGCAAATGCCCTCAGAAGTTAAAAAAAATAAGCGTTCGGACTTTTTTTTTTTTTTTGGGGGGGTTAATGTAACGAAATATATTTTATCCTGATTGTATCGCGATAGAAAGAAACATTCCAAATGTATTGCGATACAGAAATACAAATACGAAATGTATTTCTCAAATACTATCGCGATACATTTGTATCTGTCATATTTAGCCGAGTCTAAGACAAGCTTCCTTTCGGGAAATATAGCACACTAATGAACTGCAATAAGATGAGAGATGGGCTGGTTGGTAAGTCACACAAATATTGAAAGCACATGTAACAAGGACTAGAAAGGAGGCAAACAAGTGCTCCGTCTGCCTTCTTTCTAGCCCTTGTTTCCTGGCGCTTTCAGTAGTCCTATTCGCTTCAACGAGTTTTCCCGTCCTGAAGATGAAACCGGTTCTGGATGCTTCGAAGCCCAAAGTGATGCTTGCTCCAGCTGGGTAATGCCGACAAGTGCACGTTTGTCACCAAACTGGCTGCTCGCATGAAACGACATTGTTCGGTGCTAACGACCAGAAATGTCGCGGAACCGCCCGAGAGTTGCCGGGCAGAAAAAATGGGAGCCTCACTCTTTGAATGGGCGTGAAATAGGCGGTCTTTTGACGGAAACAGTTCAGAAGGGTACAGTAGTAAACGCCCTCATCTTTGTGGCAACATGTGCGGTTAGCGTGGCTGGTAGGCAGCCATTATTAAAACGAGACAAAGAGAGGTCCCTCAGATAAACCATTCTCCTTCCTTCAAAAATACGCCCTTTGAGCTAAACAGAAAAGCCCCCCCCCCTTCCCCCCCCCCATTTTGACCTTTAAAAACAAACACACATCTGCAATCTTCTGGAAGCAAAAAATGCACCCACTTTCTTTCTCTGCCAGACTCCAAGAAGGGAAGGAACAAGCGAGAAAAGCGTGAATGATGCGCCTTTCGGTAACCCAGAGCTGCAACATGCAGGGCCCACATGCCCTTCCTTGCCTTCCCAAAGCAGCCTGGATGCGTGGCGAGTGTTCGACGAAGAAGCACCAATTACCTGTAGGGCACGGTGCTCCAGAGCCAGAAAGGAGTCACGGTGTCGTTGTTGAGAATGTTGCGACCCAGGTAGGCAAGCATCATGGCGTCCCGCTTCAACTTGGCTTGGGACCTGCGTGGCAATGGCAGGGTTTCTGTGGGGCAGCCTCCTGCTGCTACTTTACCTCCTAACTCGGCTGCCATGGGAAGCTAAGATTCCACCAGTCAGTTCTTTATTCCGAGAAATGGATTATTTTAAGACAGACTCGCTAAGTCCGCGCTTTTCTTGCTGCATATAACCCAATGCAATATATTTCTCGGAAACCAAAAAAAAAAAAATTTAACAAGCATTTTGTGAAAAAAAAAAAAAGATTTCTGAGAAGTGTGTTTGCATTTTCTTGTGAGATTCAGTATCAAGTTCATTTCTCTCCACTTCTGGCAACAACAATTTACCGGTACAAATGGCAAGAAAGTGACTGAGAATCTACAGGATTGTGTGACTGGAAACGTCCTTCTGCAGTAATTCCAACCGCATTTGTACCTACACTGCACAGACACAGCTCACACATGGTAGTTTCCAAAGACCTGTGGTTTCATGATGGCCTCAGGAAAGATTACATATGCCATTCAAGAAGAAAGACGTCAACTGAGTCCGACGTTGCGTCCATGCAAGGCCACACACAGGTGCACGGAGAGCCTTGGTCCTCTCCCTCGTCTCCATCGAGGCAAACGGCCAATTGGAGAAATGGTAAACAAGAGAACGGAGTAAACAGGTGACGGAGGGCAGAGCGCCGCTTCCGATGCCAATGTGCCGACGCGGGCAAGGAGCAGCGGGAGCAGCGTCCACGTTACGATGCCACTCACTGCGCCCACGGTCGACATAGCCTGTCGGAATCAGGTTCAGGTCAGAGAAGGTCATCCCTTAGGGCCCAGAGAAGGTCATCCCTTCGAAAGCCCCCAATGCGCGCGCTTGCGGCAAACTACGCACACACGTGCATGAGAGATTGGGAGTGTTTGCCGAACGTCGCTAAGATCTGCGAGGTTGAGGAAAGTGGACGGCCCAAGTCCAAAATCGCCAAATTTGACACTCCGCCATCGGCTGCTTGACGCTGTCCACTATTTTGCGGAACAAGCGAGATATATGGGACGGGTTCAAGAAGCTTCTCATGCAAGAGAAAGCGCGTCCGCTAACCGGAAGTGAAAGATCGACAACTGCTTCGCGCACGTCAGATTTTCTCTCGCGAGCATGCTTGCCGAGCCGGCGCACGACTTCTATAGCTGCAACGATCTCTATCGGAGTCAATGAAAACATGTTGGCAAAGCCACTGAAGATAACTTTGATTCGTTCGAGCTTGCCGATGTGGACCTTCCCGTCGTTGCTCCTGCCACAGATGCTGTGATCGACCTTGCATGATGCGGCCAGGGTAAACATGAAGCAACGTCGGAGAGGCAGCTCTGGAAATGCCGATGACTACAGAGACGCGAAACGACCCATGGTTGCTTTAAAACAATGCAAAGTGCAGCGGCGGTGACAGTGTTCCTGCAATACCTGAAGCAGTTCGAGGAGAACTGATGCCGGGACGAAATCATAGACAAACTCCACTTAATTATTTTTTTACTCAGTAAAGCTGCCGGGAGATGTTCATAACCGAGGTTTGTTCGATTAAATACAGTATACGGTCAGAGTGTTCCACAGTGTTCCCGTCCACCTTTGAGGCTGCTGGCATTGTTTTTTATGGACTCTCGCTTTTATTGAATAACCGCTTATATCGAATTTTTTCGCCATCCCGTCAACTTCATTATAACGAGGGATTACTGTACTTTGTTTTAAGTCGATGCACAGCCAACGGGACCAATCAAACAGCGTGGCGTTTGATTGGCTAAACGTTTGAACGTGGCATTTGATTGGCAAAAGTGCAACATTGGCTAAACCAATCAAGTGCAGCGAATGCCCCAAGACTTGAGCTTTTAGTGTTTGTGTGGAAGGGGTTGTGTGTTTGAAACTTCGACTGTGCTCTTACCTAAAATGAAACAAACTATACGGTGAGTAGAGATGCTGTGAAATACATATTTGTACCATTTTCATTTTCTTCTACTTCTCCAAATATTAGAATCAACCAAAAATTAAATACCGTAAAATACCGAGGAAGCGCCCATACCGGCACAAGCGCCCACTATTAACATTTTCGAAATTCAAAAATTTGGGAAAGTACACACCAAGCGCCCATATTCTCGGAAGCGCCGGCGTTCCCGGCAGCCGCCGCGGCAAGCACCCTGCCGAAGGTAGCCGCGGCGGACGCGGCCCGGAGACCAATTCCCGTAGAATTGGGTCACAGAGGTCACTCCGGGCACTTTGCCTTTCACGTTACTGCAGCATTGTGTGGTCCGCACAATCCAGGGGTAGCAACGAGAGGACCAATAGGAGTGTAGATAACGGTAATTGGAGAAAAGCTCACGGGACAAAAGCTCACCAGACAGAAGCTCACCGGACAAAAGCTCACTGGAGTAAAAATGACCCGTTTTTTGACAGATCCAGACAAAAGGTCAGCTCAATTTTTTTTATTTTTGCTATTCGGGCGAAACACGGGCTGAAATAAAATGCGGACGCGATGGACATTGGACCATTTTTAAGAGAACTTGTACCCCATCCCACGCAAAGGTGTCAACAGATAAGCAATAGCAGGCAGAGAAGAAACGTTTTGTGACCAAAATTTAGGTCACCGAAACTGAGTGGAGCTGATAAGATCGAGTTTGCTTGACTCAAAGTATGCCGGAGCACCCTTGTGCAACGCCCAAAAAACTTTGTGAAGCGAATTTTCTGAACCTGAAGAGGGACCGAAGAACCGAAGTTACCCTTCGGTGACCTCGCTTTTTCAGTGTGCGTATGTCACGCTAAATGCACCCTCAATGTCTTTTTATTACCAATGGATGGGTTTTCTTGGGGGTCATGGTAATATTTAAAGTGAATGGCTAAAAAAATTACATTGTTTCCGTCATTGTGCGTTATAATTGTATCTGAAATGAAGGATTATTTCAAGGTGATTTGAAAGGGAAACTGAAGTAAAACTGTAATATACAAACCATTGAGTTGCGAATTCTTAAAAATATTTTGAAGGAACGGGAGATGGGCCTTTTGGAGAAGTACAAAACAAATTATCAAATAAAAAAAAAACAAAAAAAAAAACCTGTGCGGTATTTTGGATAGGCTCGCGTTCCTTCCACCACAGTTTGTCCCACAAGAACTAACCATCAGGGAAAAGTCTACCGGTGACATCGGCTACCTGCTGGACTATTTTGATTACACGTATATCAACGGCCGCTTCCGTTATGCTTCTGTTTCTTCTGCGGAGGCACCCAGAGCGAATTCTTCGCTTCGCTTGACTGTGCGCCGACGACGACCGGAGTTTCCCCCGGAATGGTGGAATATGTACGACGCCACTCTTTAAGATAAAGACCGGACGAACAACACCTACGAAGGTTGGAATACTGGGTTCCGGAAGCTCGTCGGCCACGCCCATCCAAGCGTCTTGAGGCTGATTGAATGCCTACAGCAAAATCAGGCGCTCGTTGCCACGGCATTCACACAAGCCCGGAGAGGGAAGCCTACAGTAAGGCGGGTGCGAAAAACCACTCTGCGCCTGCAGCATCTATTTGCAAGGGCTTCCAGGTACATCGAGATCTACCAAGACTGCTGGAGCTAGTAGGGGACTGCATTCACTTCTAACCAATCGATAAATACACTTGTTTCTATTAAAATAAACAAACCATGTGCCTGTCAAATTTAATTTACCTTTGCATTTTAGTGTCGCACGCATGCACCTAAGTTGTCCGCACTCATGTTAAGATCAACATGAAATTTTCTCCTGGTGAGCTTTTGTCCGGGTCTGTGAAAAAAATGGGTAAGCTTTCGTTCGGGATTCATAGATAACAGCCAGTTCATCCCAGCATTTTGTAAATGCATCTTGATAAATCTTTCAAGTGCGAGACGAGCTGGCTGCGGTGGACAATGTGCTGTTGCGAGAAGAATGCCTGGTCATCCCCGCGTTGTTAATGGGCACCATGATTCATCTGGAAACACGAGACCCATCTGGGTGTTATCAGGACTAAGCAGAGACTGTGCGAGTGGTATTGGTCGCTGGGTCTTGATCGTCAGGTGGACCAAGCCATCAGGAACTGCTGAGATCACTGATAAATCTGCCAAATTCATGACTGTACCACATTGGCCGATACCACAGCCAGAACGGGCCTGGCAAAAGCTGGCAGTGGACATTGTGGGGCCATTCACAAGAGCTGAAAACGGACACAAGTTTGCCATAACTCCGGTCGACTTTTATTCAAAGCGGCCAGAGGTGCACTTTGGATCAGTGGCGACGTCGCAGACTGTGATAAACTTCTTATCTGCTACGTTCAGCATGGAGGGCTACCCGGATCAAGTGTAGATGGATCACGGATCACAGTTCATGTCAGCAACCTTCAAGGATCTCCTAGAGGGAATGTGGGATTCGTCACTGCTGCACGTCCATCTACTACCCTCAATGCGATGAACAAGTGGAACGGTTCAACGCGGTGTTTAAGGGATTCATTCAACTAGCAGGTCTGGAGCATCAACTTCTTGAAGTAGATGTCCTTGAATACCCGAGTGTGCACAGGTACACGCCTCATACCAATAGGGGCAGGCTGCCAGATCTGTTGCCGCATGGTCGTGTTCCTCGATCACGGCTGGATGTTGTGGGCTTCCCGTCGTCCAAGTTCTCTGTGAACCCTGTTTCGGAACTGGCCGACCTTCGAGCACGAGTGCAACACAGGTAGGCCTACAGCAGGCGCTTCAAGGACCGCAAGAGGGGGGCCAAGGCCACCCATCTTCAAGCCTGGCGACTTTGTCGGGGTCCGCAAGCCCAACATAGCTACACGGTGCCTATGCTTATCATGGGCACACATGAACCAAGTTCCCATACCTTGGCCGACAACCGCACTTTAAATGCCTTCAAGCTGGCGGCCTGTGGTGAAGTGGGAGAGCATCTGTCAGCAGCTTCACAGCAGACGCCCACAACACTCGAGTCGGCTAATGCGGCCACACCCGTGTCAGTTCCAGTGGCTCCAGAGGCAGTGCCGGTTCGAGGCAACGCAAGATCTACTGGATCCACATCGCAGCAGAAAAGACCTGCGTGGCTCCGAGACTTTGTTAACTAACACTGTTTTACTTCCTGTTCTTGAGCGAGTTCTTGAGTTCCTTGTTTTTGTTAATTAGAAGGGGATGATGTTAGGTGGTAACATTGGGTAACGCCTGTATATAGGCCATACCATCAAAGTAAACATCAGTTTCGTTCGGCTACACGATCGTGTCACGTCAGCTTCTTCCTGGTTGCCCTACGAGGCCGGGATACAATATATAGACGCTTTCAGTGAGTAAGTTACTCGAGCTGCCACCAGTCGGCATGCCCTCCGCGCGCTTTCCAAGCCGCCATAGCCGACCTCTAGTTCCTCGCCGTTGCCCCGTGTTGTGTGCTGCACCGGCCACCACCAGAGCTTTGTTTTCGTGTTCTTTTACGTTCCTCGTTAAAATAGCGTGTTTCCTTTAGGCCTTTTCGATATTTCGGGCTTTCATTGAATCATTTGATATCTATATTTCAACATAGCTCTCGTATTTTTTTATTTATGAATTGGAATCGGACAGCGAATTGATCGACGATACAAGGTTATGGCTTAGGCTTTAGAAACCATGTAAGTTCATCACATTCTTACGTTTTTGTCGCTAATAAAAGGCAGTCAACACCAGTGCGACATATGCGAATTTCAAATGACGCAGTAAGGCAGTCGTGCTTCTCGCTGCACATGCGCGCTCGTTTTCGTAACGCCGAAATGTATGTAAGCGATTTAGCGTGCGACAAGACGAGCAGCGGTGACAACGACAAGAGTCAGCGACGAGCGACGGAAAGTTCTCATGGTCGCCCGTCGCATCGCTCTGTCTTTGGATTTCTAGAAAACGTCGCTCACCGTCTTGGTCGCTAGCTTCTGTCGCTTCCATGCGGTTTGCCTCGTCTCCCGACTGACCGAGCGACAGCGAAGCGGGTGGCAGTCTTTTATCTCGTCGCTCGCCAAATCGCTTACATGCGATTTGGATGCACACAGCATTGAACCATTGGCACCTCAATAGTAAATATAAACCGCATGCAAGCGATTTAACGAGCAACGAGACAAGCGATGGAGACCCGCATCGCTGTCGCTCGGTCAGTCGCGCGACGAGGCAAACCGCATGGAAGCAACGGGAGCAAGCGACCAAGACGGTGAGCGACGCTTTCTAAAAACTCAAAAACCGAGCGACGCGACAGGCGACACTGAGAAGTCTTCGTCGCTGGCTCTCGTCGTTGTCACCGCCACTCGTCACGTCGCACGCTAAATCGCTTACATGCGGTTCGGCTTTACAGAAATCAGCGCGCATATGCAGCGAGAAGCACGACTACGATAGCCTTACTGCGTCATTTTAAATTGGCATATGTCGCAATGGTGTTGACTGCCCTTTATTAGCGACAAAAACATAAGAATGTGATGAACTTACATGGTCTCTGAACCCTAGGCCATCATCTTCTATTGTCAATCTATTCGCTGTCCGAATCCATTTCATAAATAAAAAAAAGTACAAAAGCTGAGTTAAAATATATATGCCAAATGATAAATGAAAACCAGAAATATTGAAAATACCTAAAGAAAACACAGTATTTCAATGCGGAATGTAAAATAACTAAAAAACAATGCTCCGGTGGCGGCCGCTGCAACGCACAACGCGGAGCAACGGCGACAAACTGAAGGTCGGTTATGGCGGCAGGGTCACGTGACGTCAAGATGGCGGCGCCCATGAAATGTTGCCTGAAAGGGTCTGTATCCATAACACGATGTCCCATGGGAATCACGGGAATCACAAGATCTGCGGTGCGTACGACAAGCATGTTCACAGCGGGTTCCCTCTTGTTAATAGCACCATGACACATGAACCTGCTGCGTTTGCGATATCCGTTCACGTGACGTGCCAGTTCATTGCCGATTCCTGCATTCTTTTCTTTTGTCCGTGATCTGCGCGCGCGATAATGGTTCCCGTGATAAGAGAGTATGTAAAGGTTTTCTGCAAGTTTATCTCACCGTGAAACGCACATGTGTTGCGTCCGCCATTTGAGGTACCGGTATCTGTTCCTGTGACATGCGAGTCCACAGAGTGTTCCCGCGCTTTCCTTTGCGAACTGCGTGTGGAATATCAGTTTCTGTGAACACTGAGTTTGCAGTGGATTCCGGTATGTTCATTGCACGGCGCGAATCTGCTGCATTGGCATTCAGCAATATTTGTTTATAACGAATTTCCTCATGTTCATCGGATGCTGGGACGCGAATCTGTCATGTTCGTCATCTGCGGTAGCAGTTTTCGTTTCCGTGTGGTTGATAGCAGGTAGCTTATCGCTATCTTTCTATAACATTTTGCTGTTGCATCCCAAAAGATCGCCCACTCCCCATTTTCGTCCATTTATCTTTCGTTTCTGTGCTCGGGGGATGCCCACCTGGCCCTCCAGGTGCCCCCCGGCAGCTGGTGGCAGGAGAAGACCCGTGGACCGGTGCCGTCCCCCCTCGCCGTGAGCCAGCCGCAGGCACGCTCCACCACGTGGGGATCCAGCGGGGGCAGGTCCTCCGCATCCGCCGACCCGGGCCGCAGCTGGATCAAGTCCGTCGGGGAGGTCCGCCGGATCACGTCCACCAGCAGGGAGAGACCAATGCCTGCACGCATGCACAGACGGCAGCGGCCGGGACTACGTCTCCGCCATTTTCCCGACGGTCGCCCAATTCTGAATGTTAGAACTACGGTACGTAAAGTGTCTCTGCGGGTTAAAGCGTCCCATTTTGGGCTCCGTGTTCGTGGTGCCATCCATACCATGCAGGAATGCTGCCTTAACCTGCGTTGATAGCACGCCGTGCACGGACGCACGCATGTCTGCATGCACCAAACAAGAAAGCTGCGCAAGAGCCTGCTCCTTGCGATTGACAAGGAGCCCACTAGGCCCAGCGCCAAAGTATTTGCCAACACAATTGCCGGCTTTCCCACTTCCCCAGCCTCGCTCCTTGTCGCTTCTTTCACCCGCGCACTTGCTCGCTCGATGCACCTGGTTGGATTCTCTATTTTATTTGTTGACTCTTCTTTTTTTACTAACGAAGAGAACATAGCAGTGTTAGAAACGTGCTTTCACAGAAAAAACGTTTGCGCTGTATGCCCATCGGCGGTGTTCATTGCATGTATGCAAGCAACAAACTTTGCGATAGTAAAACATTCGGAACATTTCTTGCATAAAACATGGAACTAATTACAGTTTTGAGTTTAATGTATCTCTTGTGCAGCTGTACTAGATATGTACAGGAAAATGTAGATTTTTGAGCTTTTTTTTTAAAGATTTTGTGGTTACCGACTGAGACATGACCGACCTCACCTTTTTAAATTTCAGGCGGCAGGGGGTGGGCTCGGGATATTAAGTTAACCAAGCTTAGAAGTGAACAAGCGGAAGGTTGGGAACGACTTTCAAGAATGCAGCTGAATTTTAATTTACTAATGGTGCACGGTAGTCAAAGGCGTAGAGAAACTGTTCAATATTCTATCCTAAAAAATTTGGCCGGAACCATTATTTCTTCAAATTTGCTTCAAACTCAAAATCCCACTAGTATTTGCACATGACTAATGTCTTTTCAATTTGAAGCATTTCGCTGTCCCCGTGACCTTCGGATTACCGAGAGTCAACTGTCTGACCTAAGGCACTAATAATTTTACTCGACTAAACAATGGTCACTGGTGGCAAACAGGATTTCGACATGTAAGAATCTATACTGTAAAGGATTCGATAATTTGTGGACTCAATATTTTAAAAATTTTGCAAAAGGTAGGTCAGGAATATTTTGCGAACACAAAATTTCACGGTTGGGAGTGCTATGTCACATATTCGTTACTACAAAGTGATATATACGCACAATGATTAATTTTTCGCAAGAATTTTCTAGTCACGAAACTTCCGAAAACTAGATTCTCGCAAAAATTGAGTCGTTTGCAGTATTGTGCCCTTACAATGTGTGTGAGCGGTTCTCTAGGTTGCAATTAGAATGCTTCTGGCAAATTCTTCGATATCATTTCGGAATGCTGCATTACCTGCCCCCACAGACTGAAACAAAGGGGCCCAAGAGACTCCCGTTTTCGTAAAGAAATCGACACCCCCAAAGACGAGAGAAAGCTAGGGCTCTAGCCAGAAACAAAGAACCCTCTTCGTAAACCTTCATGAACTGGCCAGGGGTTCAAAGGAGGTCTCGTGCCTTACCGGCCACCCATCCCATGGTGTTCACCACCAGCGGGGTGTTGGGGAAGTGCTGCCGGCAGTGCTCCAGCAGCTTGGATACCGCCGCTGAGTAGGCATCCGGCTGGCTCGCTGGACTCACGTGGCCCAGGAAGTACATCCTGCAAGTACACTCCTTGTCAGGCACACGTGCAGTCCACTCTGCAGTGTTCGCCAATGTTGGATTTATTGCTACCTGGGTTCTTAAACTGGGTAATCTTCCCTCAGTTATGGTAAGCCGCATTCTGCCGCGTTGACGAACGGCATCCACCACTTTCAACATAACACTCAGACATTCGGCGGTTGCCGTCCTTCTCCGCGTCGGTAAAACGTCCAAACACGGTGAGTAGCTCCGTCAACAACGGGACTCGGCAAGTACGATAGAAGGCGTGCTGGGGGCACATGGACGCAGCTTTTTTTGCTTTCACCCTGGTAGCATATATTGGGGCCTCTACTGGTCAGAATAAAGACCGGTACGTAGAAAAAGCGAGTACCAGACTCCTTTGTGTCGCTGACCAGCAGAAGCAGTCCGTCGCGACACAAAAAAGACTCGACTGAGCAAAAAACCCCGCCTCCGCGGGTTACCCAAGCGCCCAAATTTCCTCGACCGACCCTAAGTAAAGTGCATCTACAGTTTAAGCCTAATTTTAGAGGATCCGAGTCATTGCATAACTACCAGTCAAACGCCCCCCGCTATGTGTATTATTGTTTACGAGGCTTCTGCACTCGTCGCAATAACACCGAGATCGGGAGGGGAGATACCTCGAGATGGGAATATTTGATTTGTATTAGAATACAGGTTGACGGTGATTTTCTACCAAAGCAGAATGATGACCGAAGAATGTTGATTTATAAAAGCGAGCAAAACTGAACTGAGACGTGTTGGTCACTTCCTAAAGCGTGCGAAGCGCCTCACGCGAGGGTGCTGGGGCAAAAGGGTCCAGCCCGACGCGAGCAGTGGTTCTCGAGCATGGGTGTGTCTAGGGACCCCTTGGGGACTTGTCAAAATGATGGGGATGAGACAACTACTTGCAGTGAGAAAAGGGCATCCTCTACTGTTTTAAACACTAAAAGTAAAGAGCTGATAATGGCTGTACCCTTCATTACGGGCTTGTGCCAACGAGCCCGAGTCAACAAAAAAAAAGCAACTGGGTATCTTCTTTTCTAAAGAAAAGGGGGTGCTGAGGTGAGCGCTTTGCAGTTGGAAACCACCGGTTTAGAGGCTCGTGGTTTTCTAAGTCCCGACAAAGACGTGACCACAGCGTTCGACGAGCGAGTTTCAGCCCAGGCACGCCAAAATAAACGTTCGTCCAATAGTTTTTTTTCTTCCTTTTTTATAAAAATCTGGATCGACCTCTATTCAAATAACCTTTTTTTATCATTCACCGCAAGTTTACTGGCTTGGGGTTGATCAACATTCATAATCGACCTATATTCGAGTAAGCATGGTAGTTCGGTTAGTCGTCAGTTACTAGGGATGTCGCGAACCACCCTAAGTTTGATTTCGAAAGGTTTCAATATTTTCGAGGACGACGAAGTTTCTTAAGGTAGGAGCACTTAATCTTTGAACTCCAGAGTTTTTGCCCAATTTTGCCTGTTTCGGGGGCTTATGGCCCCCCAAAGGACGACGACGGAGCATGGGAACCCTCCCGGCACCGGAGCCAAGCATCTTCTGGTGGTTGGGACCAAAGCAGCAAGGCAGAGAACCGGAAAGAAGGCCTTGCCAAACGCAACCGCACCGACAGCCAAGCTAAGCCTAATGGCAGCAGCTGACGCGACCAATGCAGCGACAGGGGTGAATCCACTCTACACGTTGAGAAAAGGCCTTTCGCTGACGAAGACTGCACTCACCCTGGACCAGAAATCCCGGGAAGACGATCATAACACCACAAGGGCTCCAAGCGACCCGACAACCAATGACGCCGAGCAACATCAGTTATGCCTGGTGAAGGCGATGCCGACGCTCGGTGAGGCGGCGAAAGCCGACAATCACCACATTCAACTTGATGCGTCGGGACACCCAGCACTCCAAAATTCGGAGCCTCCGAGCGCTGCCGATATGAATTGTCACCAAGCTTCGTGGAGCTCACGTGACCCATCAGGTGATGACGAGATGGACCAAGCTGCATGGTCAACCGTCGTCTCTAGAGGCGCCCGGAAGAAAGCGATAGCGCCGACACCCATGAAGAAACAGCCGGGAGGTGATGGTGACAAACACGACACAGTCATATTACGACCGCGTGAGCGAGTGCGTGTGACAGAGTTGTCGCCAAAAGATCTGAAGACTGCCCTAGCAAAATCTATTGACAACCATTCCAAGTACGAAAGGTGCTATCGAATTAGGATCCAAGAGGTCACTAATACCATTGCGGTGGACACCTGGTTGCCACACCTTGCGGAACACTTCTTAAAGCTGAAGACGATACGAACACCAGACAAGGAAATTCCAGTTTCCACATACCTCGCCCTGAATGGAAACCAGGTCAGAGGGGTAATTTACGGAATCGACCCAACCGACGACCCAGAAAACCTGCTACCGAACCTGGTCAGCACTACACACTGGATCCTGGAAGCAAGACCGATGGGCAAGAACAGTAAGACAGCCCTAATCACATTCGAGGGTAGGAGAACCCCAAGATATGTCACATACTACGATTGCATGAGGCAAGTATGTGCATACAGACCCCGCGCGGTTGTGTGCACGCATTGTCATGCTATCGGACACAAAGCGGACATCTGCCCTAACGAAGAAGAGCAGAGATGCCCGGACTGCGGAAGGGAACACATGCACGGAGAAGATGGGTGCATGGACACCTCCCCGCAGTGTAAGAACTGCAAGGGGGCCCACCTGGCCACGGATTCTTCCTGCCCCAAATGGAGGGAGGCCAACGAACAGCTTCGACAGAAGGGAAAAACGGGGGCGAAACCCAGACGCGACAGACGTCAGGCACCTCGATCAAGACGGTCTTCGGACACTGGGCCGAGGGATGAAAGCACGCCACGGGACCGTGCTGCGCAACTACCCAAGGGAGAAGAGATTCCCACGCCAACCCCGCCGCCAAAGACGGAGGGACACTTCCCAGCGCTTCCAAAGACGGCGATAGCGCCCGCAACAAGTACAATAGAAGAGAGAGAGGACGAAGATATTCCACGCATGGTTCAAGCCATGAAAGCAGCTCTCATGGGGTCCAGGTCACGAGTACCGACTCGAGGGCAGATGGAAACAACAACCCAATGGCATTCCGAGCCGCTACAACACCAAGCCACATACACGGCGACAAACATATCCCAGGCAAGCTCAGAGAGAGACCAAGCATTGGTAACACGGGCGGAATTCAAGACCTCTATGGAGGGAATGATCGCCAGCATCAAGGCAGATCTCCAGAACACCATCATGAGCGTGGTCAGAGAGATCGTGCAAAATGAGCTTAAAGCCATGATAACACCAGTTCTGCATGAGGCTGTCCGCTCATTGTTCCAAGGACAAGAAAATAGTAGCAAACTAAACTCGTCAAGCACCAACACGATGAGCCACGACAGTCAAGATGGCTTCAACTAATAACAGGGCTTCAAATCGGGGCCAAGCCCCGAGGCCGCCATGTGTTGTTCAATGGAACTGTCATGGACTTGCGGGAAAAGTGAGTGAACTGAACAAACGTGTCTTAACTATAGAGAAACCAGTAGCCTTCCTGCTGCAGGAGGTAGGGGGTGTAGAAAAAACAATAGCGGGGTATAACGTATATATGACTCCGACCATACGGTACAAGAAACGGGGAAGACCGCGCAGGGGGTCTGATACGCCGAACGTGCCGGTAGCTAAAGGACAAGCAGCAGTGTTCGTAGATGATAAACTACCACAAGACCAGATCGACATGTCGCAATGGTGCAACGAATATCACGAAATTGTGGCAGTGCTGGTGAAAATCGGTGCTCGTTGGTTGGTGGTGGTGTCGGTTTATGAGCGCCCGGGATATAACGTGCGCAGTAACGCGACCGCTTGGATCCCCCACCTGAAACTTGCAGCAGGGAAGGTACCAATCATCGTGGGGGGGGGACTTCAATGCGACGCACACCATGTGGGGCTACTCCCGTGACTCACCCAAAGGCGAGGAAATAGCTGAAGCAATGACACTGAACTGTTTTAGACTCGCGAACGACGTAGATATGCCTACGCGAATAGGTATGCACGCAAAGCAGAAGGACACCACTCCCGACCTCACCTGGGCAACTCGGAACATCGAACTCGAGTGGCAACTTTCAAAAGACTGTATGGGCAGTGACCATCTACCAATCACCGTAAGACTGACCCATTTCTCAACCGGCGTAAAAAAGCGGGTACACAAACGAGTGAAATGGGACAAATTCAGGGAAGCTTTAACTCAAGGGCTGACCGAGAGCGGGTTCACAGAAAGATTACAGGCAGCCCTCAAGGAAGCAACACAAGACATAAAGGTCAAGGAAGGCGACCCGACACCGGATTCGCACCTTCTCAACCTATGGGCCTCCCGAATTGAAGCCCTGGAAAGATATAAAAATGAGGGCAAACCACCAGCATTGAGGGCAAAGCTCAATCTGGCGACGGCGACAGCGAAGAGGTACGCCAACCAACTTGCTAGGCAGCAATGGCAAGACCACTGTGACTCCTTCAACAGTAGGACGGGCCTTGACAAGATGTGGAGGACGTTCCAAGCTATGCAAGGCAGAAAAAAAAGCCGGACTGCAGCACAAAACATAGCGCTGGCACTGCGAGTTTCAGAAGACCAAGTGGCAGCAGAAGCCGGACAACTCTTCTTCCCACAACCCGCAACACCCGCCCCACAAGAGACTTACAAGTGTCAATACTATGCTCCAGGGGATCCTGCCAGCGCCCCCTTTACTATGGGGGAGCTGATCTCGGCCCTAAGGCAATGCAAAACCAAGAGCACACCAGGCCCAGACGGCATTACCTATGCTCTCCTTAGGAACCTGCCAGACGAACATTCAGAGGAGCTCTTAATATGGATCAACCAAATCTGGACCACAGGTCAAGTTCCAGAAGAGTGGAAGACGTCCTGGGTCATCCCGATTCCTAAACCAGGCAAGCCCACAACGTCGCTTGCTAACATGAGGCCCATTTCACTCA